TTCTTTTTGGAAGGTAGCCAATCTAATGTAGAGGCCGAGATGGCAGGAGCACTGCTGATGAAGGGTCATGTATTTTTCCTCAATAACCTTGTAGTTTTTCATTGAAAATAATTCAGGAGGTGGGAAAAAAAAAAAAAAAAAAGAAGGTCTCTATTTTATATGTAGTCTTTTCAGCAGAAGACAGGATACATTTCCAAATTCATTGTGGCTATTTTAAAATTGGATTTGCTGTTTTGAGCAACAGTGAGCCAATCCTAAATTGTCGTCTGGATTACTTTGCTTTTCTTTGGAGCCAAGATTCTCAAAAAAGTTACAAGTTGATGTACAGCTTTGATTTTATTGGGCTTTGTGCTAAGCAAACATTTATGTTTTCCTTTTCAATTAAGAATATAATTTCCTTGGAAATCATGTTTCACTTTTCATGGTATTCATTAGGGGCCTTAGCTCGAGCTTACAGTTCATGGTATTTCCTGTGGCACCTTATACAGAATTTGAATTCTGTATTAGCACCTCCCAATATTTTTTTAAAAAAACAACTTTAAATTCCCAGACCAAAAAGCTCTTATAATCGATTCTAGTTTGGATTGTTTTCCCCTCAGGGAAGGCACAAAATTATATCTTCACTTCAGAAAAGGTTATTGTATAGCCTCTGAAGATGTGAGCCTTTAGGAAGAGGAGCTTGTAGTGGTGGTCTGGGCGCAGCAGTGCAGCGTGGTCACATGATGAGCTCCTACTCTGGCAGAATCCATACTGTGTTTACGGAGCTTCCACAGCTCTTAGAGTTTAGGCAAATGAGAAGGAGACTTGTGCCTTCTGGAAGGGTCCATTCTGAACGGATAAACAGAACAGCTGCCCTCATGTCACCACAGGGCCAGAAAGAAGCCCAGCCAAACGTGATCACCGTGGCCAGTGGGGGCAGGGGTCACCAACTCACTCTGGTCTCTGAAGATATCAGGCTTCAGGGAGAGAGAACCTTCATTTCCCAGCAGGCCCAAACAGAGTTCCTTTTAAAAGCCTTGCAACAGACTTGGATATTCTCAAAGGTAGGGTCATGGATATCATCAGTGGAATGAATTTGGCATCTCATCTTTCATTGGTCAGAGTGATGAGGGAATCTTTTTGGCAGGTATCAAATAAGTTGTTTATTATCAGTTAGTATCTAAGAATAAATTATAAGGCCTCCCTTTTTCTCAGAAAATAGCAAATGAAATGAAACAAGTGGGATCAGTTTGTGTCCAGTAGGCCTTGGTAAGTGTTGAGATCTGTACGGACCCGTAAATGATGATGCATATGTCCATCATCTGAGAAAGCTTTCTCTTGCGGCCTGTAGTCTGTCCCTTGTTCCTCTCCCTCCCCTCCCCACCACTGATCTGCTCTATGTCACTAGAGCTTCAGTTTCATAGACTTGTCTATAAATGGAATCTGGACTCGATACTTGGGGGTCGGACTCTGCCTTTCAGCATACTGTTTGGGATTCATCCGTAGTGTTGTTTATCAGCAGTTCTTTCTTATTACTAAGTAGGAGTCCTTGGTGTGTACCACATTTGCTTATCCATTTCCATTGAGTTTTCAGGGGTTTGTGGTTGCAAATAAACTTGCTCTGAGCATTTGTGCACAAGTGTTCATATGGATACATTCAACACTTGTCAAATGTCGTGCAACATTTGTATGTCATCTCGTGCTTCTCTTCTTGCAGAAGGTCATTGGCTGGTACAGGTTTCGGCGGAATACACAGCAGCAGATGTCCTACAGAGAGCAGGTTCTCCACAAACAGCTCACCCGCATCCTGGGTGTGCCCGACCTCGTCTTCCTCCTCTTCAGCTTCATCTCCACCGCCAACAATTCCACCCATGCGTTAGAATACGTTCTCTTCAGACCAAATCGAAGGTAACGAGAGCTTTCCCATCCGCCACCATAAACAGGAGGATGTTGGAACAAGGCATGGAGAGGCATAACCTGGAAATGCATTACAGTGCATTGGATATCCTCTGCCGAGGATATTGTTCATAGTCCCTTTCAGCTAGCTGTCTTTGTAGTTGGATTGGATATTCTCCCTGTTAGCTAGTTGTCAGTACCATCGAAATAAATTGAAACTGTTTTTGAATCAGGAATCATTAGCAAGACACATTTATACGCACAAAACTCACATAGTAGTGAACAACTAGGACTCCTGGATGGCTTCTCCATAATCCATTAGGTAGAAACAGCTCTCCTGTTGTGGCAGTCTGATAGCAATTCTAAAACCTAGACTAGGTTGTAACATTGATCCACCTACTGGTTAATGAGGGGTTTGCATTGTTCACTTGTCTGTCTCTAAACAAACAGCAGGCTCACCACTTGAAGTCCATTTGTATTGAGTTAGCACCCTGGAGGATCATGGCTGCATGGTAGCCCGCCCCTTGTAAGACCTCATTAACGAGTTGGCAGGGATTTCTTGAGCATTTACAGCTTGTTCCACACTGTGTTAGACACTGGGATGCAGACAAGATAATACACACGACATCATCTTGAGCCTCAAGGAGCTTTCAAACTAATTGCTGCTTTTTGTTTTGTTCTTTACGTGCCATTTTTGTTGTTGTGGTTGTTATTGTTGAGACTATACACAGCAACCAAACCCCAAACCAACACTGCCACTGAGTCAATCCTGACTCATAGAGAGCCTCTGTGATCTCTATGGAAAGCGACGGTCACGTCACTCTCCTGTGGAGAGCATTTCTATACCACCAGGCTCCTGAACCCCAGCATGTACAATTTAGGGGCATTGATGATGGTCTTTGAGGTCTGCAACTATTCATAGCCCTCTTTTTCTGAATTGTACCTCCCTCGTGAAAACTGGTTTCTCCTTTAAGAATTCACACACCCTGGGGTTGCCTAGAGAAGTAGGTGCTCTGTGAGACCTCTTGCTACCTCCCCCATGTCAGATGGCTGTTGCCAAGGCCCCTTTGTAGAACGAGCAGTGTGGCCAGCGTGACCTTTTCTAACTTTTCCCCACAGGTATAATCAGAGGATATCACTTGCTATTCCTAACCTAGGCAACACTAGCCAGCAGGAGTACAAAGTGTCCTCAGTGCCAAATACTTCTCAGAGTTATGCCAAAGTTATTAAAGAACATGGGTAAGTTGGGGGCTCACCTGAGAGTGCCTGCCTTCCTCCGTCAACAGTGTTGCTTTTATGACATGTGGAGTCCGGCTTGATATGCCTGACATGCTAGAATTCAGTGAGGTAATTCTCTAGACTATAACCCCCATCTCAAAATTGTACCCTAGCTAAAAGGCTAGTTGACTTGGTCCGTAGTTGCTTTATCATTTGTCACAGTTCTTATTCTGCAGTTGATACAGAAGCTTGGATAGCATATGTGTGTCTCCAAGGTTCTAAGAGCTAAGTGTGGCCCCCGAAAAGTGTGTAACTTTTCAATGTTGCTTTATTGTCTGGGTCCAGGCAGACCACCGCAATAAAGAGAGTGTCCCAGTAAAGCGAGGCACGTCCATTTTGGTTTCCCAGTGCATATAAGAACTGGTGTGGCACTGTAGGATCGACACAGGACTAGGAATCACAAGGTCGTCAGTTCAGATCTACCAGCTGCTCCTTGGAAACCCTATACAGGATCCCTGTGAGTCAAACCAGATGGCACTTAACAACAAGAAGTGAATATAAGGAGAGCATGGTGGCTTCATACAGTAAGCATTAGACTGTGCACCACAAGGTTCAAGCCCACCAGCTGCTCCTCGGGAAAAGATGAGGCTTTCTGTTCCCGCGAATATTTAACCCTCAGAAACCCTATACAGGGTTACAGTGTGTCAGAACTGACTTGAAAGCACGTAACAACAACAACCACATATAGTGTTGACACTGTCTTGTAGTCTGTGATGTGTATATTAGCAGCAGGAAGAGTTAGAAATAGGGACCAATGACCAAAATGTGACAGGACACGGAGGGAGCACACGCTGTTGGAACGATGCTTGATGCAGCGCAGCCTCACGCTGGCTGTTGGTCACAAACTCACTCCCCACGAAGCACAGTAAGACGAGGTCTGCCGGTACTGGGGGCTCTGGGTTTCTCTTCTGTAATTCCAGTAGTGTGAGCAGTATCGCTTAGGTAGACCGCGGCCTGTAACCAACGAGGGGAGAAATGGCGGGTGAAAGGGACTCTCGGTATCACAGCATGTCATCACTTTGTGATGTCTCATTTGTGTCTTCCAGTACTGACTTTTTTGACAAGGATGGAGTAATGAAGGACATCAGGGCCATTTATCAGGTTTATAATGCGCTTCAAGAGAAAGTACAGGTAACGGATTTACCTTCTAATTCCAGTGCTACTAATTCTCTGGCAGATGACTAATGATCCACAGGTTAGGATGTCATTTTCCAGAAGGATCCCATTACCCTGCTAGCCTATAACACAGTCCTTGTGTCTTTATGTACTTTATGTCTTTATGTGGTGTGGTATAATGTGGCGCTGTGGGTTAATGCGTCAGACTGCAAAGCCGTTTGAACTGCAAGGTTGGCAGTTCAGGCTCACCAGCTGCTCCTCGGAAGCCCTATAACAGGGTCACTATGGGTCGGAACAGACTCGACAGCACTTCACAAGAACAACAAAAGATTAATGGTGTCTTTTTTTTAAACCATGGCACCATTTTTATAGTGATTTTTTTTTCTAGGAAAATGTACTCCAAGTGTAAAGAACGCTTGCTAGGAATATAGTTATCTCTCTCAACTCTGTTCAGAGAAGAGTGTACATCATTGTAACTCAGCCCTCTAGTGCCGCTACCCCCCGTAATTGTTCTCCTCACGCCCCAATGTGTTTCTCAGGAATCGTTTACTCTCAAATCCTGAGCACCAAACAGCCTTTGCGCTTGTGTTCCAGGACTGAAAGGGAAGTGGTGTGACTTCAAGGCTCTCTCAGACCTGGTGGAGCCTGGCTTTGAGGACATGATCACTGCAGAACAGGAGTGAAGGTGGCGCCTAACTGAGGAAACCCATGGGGTCCACCTAGGGCTAAAGGAAGAGGCAGACAGCAGGCCATGTGGGAACTTTGCACAGGCTCGCTGCCGACCGGCCTGCTCTTGGGCGGTTTTTGCTCTTTCTGCTATGATAGGAATGTGCAGTGACGGGCAGTTTTTTGTCCTGAGCCACAGCCATGCCCTTTTCAAGCTTTCAGGACTGTCGGAAGTCCAACAAAGTGGTTGTGACGCCACTCTGTGCTGAGGGCTAGGCCTGCGCTAGAAGAGAGAAAGGCGGCCTGTGACAGCTGCGGCTCAGACATTCCCGCCTGGAATGGTAGTATCTCATTCAGCCCTTCTTAATTATCAATCGTTTCTGTAAAACCATTGGTGTCATCTGTTAAAAGTTATGGAATGAAATGGACATAAAATTCACCACTGTAAAGTGAACAGTTCACTTACATTAAGTTCATTCTCAATATTGTTTAACCACCACATTTATCTGATTCTAAAATATTTATATCACCCCAAAAGGAAACCCATGTTGTCTGGGCCCAGGAAGCAGTTGCTCTCCACCACCTCTTCCTCTCAGCTCTTGGCAACTCCCAATCTGCTTTTTGTCTCATTGGACTTCCCTATTCTGCGTCTAAATGGAATCACACAATATGTGACCTATATGTTGGGCTGCTTTCACTCAGCATAATGACATTGTAGTGGTGTCTGTACTTCACTCCTTCACCGGCTGAGTAATGAATAGTCCACTGTGCACCTTAATGTATTTGTCCATTCCTCCATCGATGGGCATTTGGCTTGCTGTGAGTAGTGGTGTTATGAACATGAGTGGAAGTGTTACTTACTCAAGGGTCTGTTTTTTATTCTTTTGGGTATATACCTAGATGTGAACCATATGGGAATTCTAAGGGGTCCTGATGGTGCCGTGGGTTAAGTGCTGAGCTGCGAAAGAACAGCCATTTCATGCCAGAAAGATGTGGCTCTCTGCTTCCATAATGAATAACAGCCTTGGAAACCCTATAGGGTGGTTCTCCTCTGTCCTGGAGGCTTTCCATGAGTTGGAATCCGCTCCACGACACTGGAATTTGGTTATTTGGGTGGCACTCAATCCTATGTTTAACTTTTTTGAAGAGCAGCCAAGCTGATTTTCACAGTGACTGAACCATTTTACATTCCTACCAACCAGCACCATACAAGGGCTGCAGTGTCTTCAAACCCCCAGCAACAGTTGTAACTTGCCTCTGTTGTTATTGGCCAGTGTAACTCTCCCAGTGTGCATGGCTCTGATTGCACTTCCCTGGTAATTAATGATGTCGAACAGTTTTTCATGTCCCTGATAGCCATTTGTGTATCTCCTTTGGCGAAATGTCTATTTTGGTCCCTTGCCCATTTTTAAATTGGATTGTTTGCCTGCTTGTTGAGTTGTCTCGTTGTCTGGCTTTTGATCGTTGGTTATAAATAGAAGTTAGAAGCATCTCTGTCCTCTCCTGTCTGTTCTTCCTCCTTCCTGTGCTTGGCTGGCATCTGTTCCACAAAAATCATGAATTACGGGGAAGATCCCATCTCTCCGCATTTTACCCTCATGTTTCAAGAACTTACCAACTGACTAGCAGGATCCCTTACAAAAGTGAAGACAACATGTTAGTGAATAACAACGCTGGCCTCTTGGACCTCCCTGGTTTTGTTCAGCTGTACATTTCTGCTGTTCTCCAAATGCCACGTTTCCCAGAGTGCAGTGGGTGCTGTCTGGGTGGGATGAGCTGTGCTCAGGTTTGAAGCTGACCTTTCTTGTTGTCTTTTCTCTCCTCAGGCAGTTTGTGCAGATGTAGAAAAGAGTGAACGGGTCGTTGAATCTTGTCAGGCCGAAGTGAACAAATTGAAAAGACAAATCACTCAGAGGAAAAATGAAAAGGAACAAGAACGAAGTAAGTTTCTTAGCAATCTAACCACTCCATGGCAGAGAGATGCTTTGTTCCCAAATTCAAATTGTGCAGTCGTTGGCATGCCTCCTCCTTCAAGCATCAAGCCGCCGTGAAGCTGGGAGGGAGAAGAGATTCTCTTTGTCTTCAAGCTTTCCCAAAGGATCACTCTTTTCCTGCCATCCTTCACAAGTCTGTCTCTTGAACCAGAAGCAAAAACACCAACGCCAAGAAAAGCCGAAGCCAAGTTAGGCCAGATCCCAGGCTGTGGTTGGTAGAGCTGTGTGCATGTCTTACATAGGCTGGTGTGTTGATGGCCGAATGGACCCCAGCATGCCTAGCGTAGTAGGCTGGTGTGTTGATGGCTGAGTGGACCCCAGCATGCCTAGCGTAAAGGAACCAGCCTCCTGTGTTTGTGAACATTCCATCAGGCTAAATTGCGGTCACTTTGTGCGGTTCATTGTCAGGGTCCCAGTGGAGGCTTTAAGTGTCTATTTCAGTAACTGAGTGAATAGGTGCCATTAAGCTGTTTGAGTGAAAATAAAGCTGAAGACTAGTAATTCCAGCCTGCTAGCAGGCGTGTGTGCTGTCGGGCCACCACATTCAATATTTCTAAGAATAATTTATCAACTGTATGGCAAATAATGTCAAGTGTAACAGACACGGGGTGTGGGAACCCAAAACCCACTGCCATCAAGTCCATTCTGACTCGTAGCAGCTGTGCAGGACAGAGGAGAGCCACTTCCAAGGGTTCCCAGGGCTATAAGTCCTTACAGAAGCAGATAATCTCCTCTTCCTCCCAGAGGGAGCTGCTGGGAGTGAACCGCTGACCTATGGTTAGCAGCCCAGTGCATAAGGAGTGTGACGAAACTTTTCTGTCAATGAATACATGCGGGGTGGTGTTAGTTGTTTCACGTTGCATCCCGGTCCACGGCGATGCCATGTGTGCAGAGTGCTGCTCCATAAAGGTCTCAAAGCTGTGACCTTTCAGAAGCAAATCGTCAGGCCTCTCTTCCATGGCAGCTGTGGGCGGGTTTGAACCACCAATTTTTTGACTGATGGTTGAGCACTTAGCTATTTGTGCCACCTGTAAAACTGTAGGGATACACATACACCTATTAAAATTGTGATGTATAGATCCAGACCAATGAGCCTGAGTCAACTGCTACTATTACAGTTTTCTAGAAATAATCAGAAATGCAAACAAGGATTTATACACAAAAGTGTTAGACCCAACTTGATCATCTTCAGAAGTTAGAAAATAGTCTACTAGAGTCGATTACTAAACTATAGTCACATAGTTGAATAAAAGGTTGTACCTAGTGTCACCATGAGCTGGGGCCAACTTTACAGCAACAACACCATAAGATGGATTATTGTAAGTCACTGAAATGTTTTTAATGATGCGGGATGCTCCCCAATATATGATTCTAAGTGGAAAACACCAGGACATGAAACGGCAGACGCACTGTGACCTCAGCTGTGCTCGAAGCACACACATACTTGCACACAGAGCTGGGGGTTCAGACTGGAGTCAGAAAGAAATCAGGACTAGAGTCACAGCTAAGAAGTAGAAGGGCTGCCAGGGGGTGTCTTCTAACTGCAGACCCTGGGCTGTTTCCTGCCACTGTTGCTGTAGGTGAGGCCCAAGGTCGGCACCGCAGGAGAAAGAGAAGGCTGTCTGCTCCCGTAAAGATTCACAGCCTCAGACAACCTAGCAGCTCGCTCGCTCTGAGTCACGATCGACTCAATGGCAGTGAGTGTGGCTTTTTGGCTGCTGATTTTGCTCAAGTCCATTAGGATAAAGGGATGACATTGAAAAGATCCTTGGTGGGGGTGGGGATCTGCCATGGATTCGGTTCCAACTCACTGACCCTGCACAGGGTTTCCATGGCTATAAGTCTTTACGGGAGCAGAAAGCGTCATCTTTCTTCCGTGGAACAGCTGGTAGTTTTGAACTGCTGACCTTGAGGTTAGCAACCTGACTCGTAACCACTACACTACCAGAGCTTCTTTGTTGTTGTTAGGTGCCATCGAGTCAGTACTGACTCATAGCGACCCTGTGCACAACAGAATGAAACACTGCCCGATCCTGGGCCAACCTCACAATTGTTGCCACGCTTGAGCCCATTGATGCTGCCACTTTGCCATTCCATCTCATAGAGGGTCTTCCTCTTTTTCACTGACCCTACACTTTAAAGATGTCACCTTCAGGACTAAGTTGCACCTGACCCAAGCCGTGGTATTTTCAATAATGTCATATGCATGTGAAAGCTGGACAGTGAATAAGGAAGACCGTAAAAGAATTGATGATTTTGAGTTATGGTGTTGGAGGAGAATGTTGAAAGTGCCATGGGCTGCCAAAAGAACCAATAGATCCATTTTGGAAGACGTGCAGCCAGAGTGCTCCTTAGAGGCCAAGATGGCCAAACTTCATCTCTCATACTTTAGACATATTGTCTGGAGGATACAGTCGCTGGAGAAGGATGTCATGTTTGGTAAGGTGGAGGGTCAGAGAAAAAGATGAAGACCCCCAGTGAGATGGATTGGCCCAGTGGCAGCATCGATGAACTCAAGCGTGGCAACAGTAGTGAGGTTGGCCTAGGATCGGGCAGTGTTTTGTTCTGCTGTGCATAAGGTCGCTATGAGTTGGTACCAACTCGATGGCACCTAACAACAACACTTTACTAAGCATGATGTCCTTCTCCAGTGACTGGTTCCTCCTGACAATATGTCCGAAGTATGAGAGACGAAGTTTGGCCATCCTGGCCTCCAGGGAGCACTCTGGCTGCACTTCTTCCAAAACGGATCTGTTGGTTCTTTTGGCAGCCCATGGCACTTTTGATATTCTCCTCTAACACCATAACTCAAAAGCATCAATTCTTCTATGGTCTTCCTTATTCACTGTCCAGCTTTCGCATGCACATGAGGTTATTGAAAATACCATGGCTTGGGTCAGGTGCACCTTACTCCTCATGCTGACATCTTTGCTCCTCAACACTTTAAAAAGGTCTTGTGCAGCAGATTTGCCTAATGCAATACATTGTGTGAGTTCTTGACAGCTGCTTCTGTGAGTGTTGATAGTTGATCCAAGAAGAATGAAGTCCTTGACAACTTCAATCTTTTCTCCATTGATAAGAATGTTGTTTATTGGTCCAGTGATGAGGATTTTTGTTCTCTTTACATTGAACCTGCAATCCATACTGAAGGCTGTGCTCTTTGATCTTCATCACCAGAGTTCCTTACCACCCTCAATATTCAGTGAATTTAGGGCTTTCTCCATGACAGGTCTATGTTAGGTGGTAAAGTTCCCAGATATGAGTCCACAGCTTCACTTTCAATGACTACTTTGAAACATCTTTACATTTTGTCAGCTGTGGAGCTTTTTAAAGACAGTTTACAACTTTTCAGGTTATAAAAAATACACACCCCTACAAAATGGAAGCGTCCTGGTGTGGCACTGTAGGACTGCTAACCGCAAGGTCAGTGGTTCAGACCCACCAGCGCCATCTTGGGAACCCTGTGCAGGGTCACTTAACAACAACAACCACCTACAAAACTTAGAAGAAAGAAAATATGGTTTGTCCTCAACTCTTTGGCCCACATAACACTGTTGGAATTCTAGTGGAGACAGCACAGGTTGAAAAAGGTTGAAGTTGAGTAAATCACTTAACTTTTCCTGAACTCTGGTGTCTTTATCTGTAGAATGGCGCCATAATGCTACAGTAAAGCCTGCGAAAGGCAGAACCTGAGTAAGGCGGAACAAACTCTGTCAGAGAAGGAAAGCTCAGATGCTCCCATCTAGAAGCTGCACGCTTGTTGTTGTTATGTGCCGTGGAGTCGTTTCCGACTCATAGTGACCCTGCACAGGGTTTCTGAGGCTGTAAATCTTTACGGGAACAGAAAGCCTCATCTTTCTCCCACGGAACAAGTGGTAGTTTCAAACTGCTGACCTTGTGGCTCACAGCCCGATTTGTAACCACTATGCTACCAGAGCTCCTTACCAAAGGCAAAATCCTGTGAGGCCCAGAAAACAGGGTGGTTTTGTTAGCTGTGGCTCTCACAAGCTACATTACGGTTATGGCGACAATAGTATTTCAGAGACTTATTATGAAGTTTGAATGGATTAAAGTTTATGAACATATTTGTAAATAACATAAATAACGTAAAGTACTATGGAAATGTAAAGTAAGTAATACAAATGCAGAGTTGCAAGGCCGATGGTTAGAGTTCTGTGTCAGCTTGACTGAGCCGTAATCCTCAGTGGTTTGGCAGTCACATGATGCTGGGATTTGACAGCTGTGTGATGTGGTCATCCTCCATTTGGTGATCTGTTGGGGTCCTCCTCCAATTTTGCATAATACTGATTTTCACTTACTACCTGGTCTTTGGGGTCCTGGTGTGGCACTGTGGGATAAGTACTAGACTCTGAACCTCAAGGTCAGCAGTTCAAACTCACCTGCCGCCCCTCAGAAACCCTACACAGTCTCTCTGAGTCAGAACTGACTCCACGGCATTTAACAACAACCACCTGGTCTTTGGAACATACCCGTGCTTGTGTGTGAGTTCTCGAAAGTTCGGAGTGACTGAAATGCCTTAAACTGAAAGGCTGAGAGAGTACAAAGGTGTTAACAGTATTCTTCCTGTTTCCCCAGGGATGCAGCAGGCGATGCTGAACAGACAGATGCCGTCGGAGAGGCTGGAGCCTGGGTTCAGTCCTCATCTGCCCTATTCTGGGTATGCACCTGAAGGGAGAAGTACAATTGGAGATGCCGAAGCCTCTGACCCTCCTCCTCCTTACTCAGACGTTCAGCCCAACAATCAAGAAAGTACTTTGAGGCACTCGCGCACGGAGAGCAGTGTCTTCATGCCTCGCCCTCAAGCTGTGGGCTCTTCCAGTTACGCAGCCACCAGCACTGGACTCAAGTACCCTGCAAGTGGGGCAGCCCTCCCCCCTTCCCAAAGAGCCGCTGCAGACAGTGTGGACGAGTCCGACGACAGTGATTATGAGAACCTGAGTGACCCCACAGAGCCTTCCAATAGCGAGTACTCACATTCGAGACCCATGACACATCCGGACGGGGACTCGAGGGACACTCAGGCCTCCCAGATTTAACTGAACAAAAGAACTCTCCACTTAGCACTGGCTTCCTTCCTGCTGATTGAGAGAGTTCTCCCAGGACTTCGTCTGAGGGAGCCGCTTTCTCAGATCCCTGGCTCCCGAGAGGAGAGAGACCTCGTGCCCAGAACTTGCTAGAGCCTGGTATCGCTGGCCCACGCTTCTGGTGCAGTGAGCCGGCTTCACGGCAGAATCATATGAAGATAATCACAGTGGACTAATTCTGGTTGATTCACACATGTATTGGTAAACTTAGACAAAGTGAAACTTATCAACAGAGTTTCTGTTCTTGACAGTAAATCGGAAATCAGAGCACAATTACTCTAGAAATGGTCTATAAATCAAAAACCTTACCTCTTGCACTATCATGCCTTGAAATTTACTTTTTCAAAGGGAAATGAATTTAGCAGCAGCCTTCAAAGAGCCTTCTTTCTCTGGTGAGCCAAATTCATCTTTGCCAGAAAAGACATTTTGATAATTCTAAGAAGTCTGGTTGGAACAAACCGAATCCACCTTCTCTCATCTGCGTGACTTTGTGAAATTGAAAGAGAGCGTTGTTTCCCCTCTTTTTCTACTAGCTTGAGCTGTATTGTCACTTCAAATGGTTGCCTTTTAAAAAAAAAAAGAAATGTAGAAATCCTAATCACCAGTCAATAATCATCCACATGAGTTTGTCCTACAATGAATGACCTTCTTTTTCTTTGGGAGGAGGACGGTGACGGTGACAGTTGTGTTGCACTAGCCACATGGGGGTCTCCGTTCCAGAGTGTGACATGAAGGATGCCCACCCAGTGGTGGGTAACCTAGAGGAGGTAGGTACCTCGCCGGGGCTCACAGCAAACCAATTCCAGACACACTGCATTTAGTACAACAGGGAGACAACTCATAGACCCTCTGACAAATCCTCGTGTTAGCTTTGTGGAGGAAAGACATTTCATCAACTGTGTGGGAATCTTGGTGAATAAAGATTGAGTTTAAATCTAAATAACCATCTTTTTTTTTTTTTTTTTAAAGATGCCATTTGGGAGATAAATGAGGAATGTGTAGAGACGGCTGAGATGCACTTAGGTTTTTACTTAATTATTGCTCGTTTCCGGTTTTGTCCTGAATGGGCTTCTCGCTTGCGAATGACAAGACCAACCATTGAGGGCGTGCTTAGCACAAGGAGTGAGTGCTTTGGGTTGTACCTGCCTTTGGATGACTTGGAACCTAGAAGGATAAGAAAACTGTTGGTAGGAGCCACTGAGTCGGTTCTGACTCGCAGCAACCCTGTATAGGGTTTCCAAGGAGCGGCTGGTGGATTTGAACTTCCAACCTTGGTGGTTAGCAGGTTAGTTAGGGAGGCTAGTTAAGCCTCCCTACCACCTATTAGGAGGCTTAAACTCCAGGTTTCAAAGTAGTATGATTTCTCACTGAACTTCAGTTTACTCACCAAACTCCGGTTCCCATAAAAAATGAGACCACGTCGTTTGGACTGATGAACAACATGCTATAGAAATCCACCGGGTGGGACTTGTATTTAAACTCCTCTCCTGTATGGGTGGGCCTGACCCACCTGCAGTTTGAGCTGAAGTGGTGCAGACTTCATGTTCTGCACAGGAGTTCCAGTTTTATCAGCTTCCAATGAGCAACTTTAGCACCTGTGTGAATTTTTCTTTTCGTTATTTTTTTTTTCAAAGTGCCAGTGCCATCTCTGCCATTTGAATTTTGACCAGAAAATATTTTTATGCCATACCAAAATCTATAGTGTGTGTCTGACAAAGCAGTGAAATGTGACAATAAAATTATTTAATCACAACACTTGTTTTCATGTCTGTCTCAGCACCTGGCCAGGCCTTACCTCCGCTTGCTCATTCTGGCGATCCTTAGTGACTTTACTACAGCTTTTTAAAGGGCATTAAAATTCATCTTCTTTACAGATCTTCTGTCAGGTTGACTAAAAATGTGTCTGTTGGTTTCAAAGAGAATAAATAAATATATTGAGTTTCAGGTGAAAGAGAAAACAACGTCTCAATATAAGATGTAGTCTTAGGAAGACCCCCATAAACCCATCTCACACATGACCCAATCTCGTTTGGAATGACTCCTCGTCTTGGATCACCTAGTATCCCAGCTGCCATGGCTCTTAATCTTAGAGTGTCTTTGAAATGACGGAATCACCTTAAAAGGAGGACCGCCTAGCCTGTGTGGTCTGGATTCCAGCTGAGTGACGTATCTCATCCAGGACCTAGTATGATTGTCTGTTTTCGGCAAGCTTTCAGTACGTGAATTGTAACCTTTTAGGGGTCTTTGGAGGAAAGGAGACTGGATTCTTCTAACTTGGAAGCCTGGAAATGCTTCAGGACTTGTCATGACTGGCTTTTCTGGAGAAAGATCAAAACAAATGAATGTACCAGTGGAGCAGTGACAATAGCTGCTTGAATGCATCCAAACAGACTGCCTTATAAATCCATAAACCCCAACAGCAAACCAGACAAGCCAGTCTGGGGCTGGTGTCAAATCAAAACACAAGTAAGGCAGGGTGATTAGCACTCTTCAGCTTTGCTTGGCGTGGACTGTGGGTTTCCATTCGTTCCAGTCTCTAAATGGGCTCCGCCCGCTCACGGGGCTCTCCTTCCTACTTACCCACAGCAGCCCTTCATTCCGCCAGACGGGAAGCCTGAAAGCCTGGTGCTCATGGTGCTCATAAATAATGGAAAATGTTTACTTTTCAGCTTTATGACAAACAGATTGGAGGAAAGTTCTGGGGTTTAGCTTCACAGGCTTCCTCTTTACAGTGGTTTTTGTGCTGTCCTCAGTGAGACAAAAGGAGCCCTGGCGGTGCAGTGGGTTAAGCATTGGGCTGCTAACTGCAAAGTCAGTGGTTCAAACTCACCAGCTGCTCCACAGGAGAAAGATGAGGCTTGCTGCTCCCTTAAAGATTTACAGCCTCTGAAATCCTAAGGAGCAGTTCTACCCTGTCCTATTGGGTCACAGAGTTGGGACTGATGGCACTGGGTCAGTGAGGCAGAATGTTGAGTCAGGAGGTAGGATCCACCCAAGTTGGATTGCCCTGGGTTTCCTCTGCTCCCTTGAGATTGGGAGGAGAGAACCCTCTAGTAGTGAATACCTTGGAACATCCACAGGGAAATGGCTCCTTGAATGTCAGAGACTGCAAGTGGTGCACAGTGTTTGTGCAAAGATTCAGCAAGAGGATGCTCATTGCAGCACATTGAAAATAGCAAAGCACTGGAAAGAACATTAATGCTAATGTAGTGGTTAAATTCTGACACATTGACACATCATCTTGAGTTCGATGTCAAACAGATTCCTTAACACAATGGTTTCTAGATACTAAAGGACGACAATCAGAACTCCACAAAGTATCTGAGGACAGATCAGACTTCTGTGAGGAGCAAGGATTTATGTAGGGTTGCTATTGATAGAAGGAGCCCTGGTAGCACAGTGGCTTAAATGCTTGGCTGCTAACAGAAAAGTCAGGGGTTCGAGCTCACCAGCTGTCCCATGGGAGAAAGATGTTGACAGTTGGCTTCCATAACGGTTGTTACTGTTGTTGGGTGCCCTTGAGCAACCCTCTGCACAACAGAATGAAACACTGCCTGGTCCGGTGCCAGCCTCACAGTTCCTGTCATTTGAACCCATTGGTGCTCCACTGTGTCACTCCATCTCATTGGGGGTCGTCCTCTTTTTTAGCACTGACCCTCCACTTTATCAAGCATGATAATGTTCTTCTTTAAGAAGTGTGAAAGATGTATTACCAACCTGGCTTCTAAGGACTATTCTGGCTGTACCTCCAAGACAGATGTGTGTGCCCTTCTGACAGTCCATGGTATTTTCAATATTCTTCACCAACACCTGAATTCAAATGCATTGATTCTTCTATGGTCTTCCTTATTCATTATCCAACTTTCACATGCATATGAGGCACTTGAAAATACCATGGCTTAGGTTAGGTGCACCTTAATCCTCAAAGTGACATCTTTGCTCTTTAAAGAAGTCTTTTGCAACAGATTTGCCCAATGCGATGCATTGTTCAACTTCTTGACTGTTGCTTCCCTGAGCATTGATTGTGGGCCCAAGCAAAATAAAGTCTTTGACAAGTTAAATCTTATTTCTATCATGACCCTGCCTGTTGGTCTACTTACGAGGATTTTTGTTTTCTTTACATTGAATTGCAATGCATACTGAAGGTCTTTAATCTTCATCAGTAAATATTTTAAGTCCTCTTCGCTTTTAGTAAGCAAAGTAGTATTATCTATACATCACAGGTTGTTAGTAAGTCTTTATCCAATCCTGATAACTTTTTTCATATAATCCATCATCTTGTATTACTTGCTTAACATACAGATTGAATAACTGGTAAAAGGAAACAACCTTACACACACCTTTCCTGATTTTAAACCATTCAAGTATCCCCTTGTTCTGTCCTAACAACTGCCTCTTGGTCTATGTTGATCAATCTCTTCTCTGTTTATCATGATGTTATTTATTGACCCAGTTGTGAGGATTTTTATTTACACTGAGGTGGAACCCAGACTGAGTACTCAGGGGCACAGTGAATTGTCCTGGAATTTCCATTCTTCACAACATTGTCCATAGTTTGTCATGAGACACACAGTTGAAAGCTCTGCATAGTCAGTAAAGCACAAGTAAACATCTTTCTGGTAGTCTCTGCTTTCAGCCAAGATCCATCTGACGTCAACAATGATATCTTAGTCCCATGTCCTCTTCTAAATCCAGCTTGATTTTCTGGCAGGTCTTTTTCTATGTACTGCTGCAATCGTTTTTGAATTATTAAGTAAAATGTTCAGCAACATTTTACTTGCATGTGATATTAATCATACGGTTTGATAATTTGTACATTCCATTGAGTCACCTTTCTTTGGAATGGGTACAAATATGAATCTCTTCTAATCAATTTGCCAGGTAGCTGTCTTCCAAATTTCTTGGCATAGATGAATGAACACCTCCCGAGCTGCATTCGTTTGTTGGAATAT